TTGACAAAATTCAATTCGTAGCTCATTCATTCTTTTTTTTTTTGGATTTTTTTGGGACTCTCGTTTTGTCTTTTTCGAAAATTTGCACAACATCTTTATACATATATATAGTTTTTTTTTGCTATCGATGTAGTCTCTCCTCTGCCTTTGTGTGTGCCTGTGTGTGTGTGTGTTTGTGCCACGTCGTTCCACTTTGCAAATCAATTAAGTGTTGTTTCCGCCTAAAAGTATGCTAGACCAAAGAGAAAAAAAAAACAGTTTTGCATGTTGTCGCTGGCATTGTTTTGGGTGCATGTAAACGAAAATGTCGCAGCCCAAAAAAAAAAAAAAAAGAATACGAATGCCAGCAGCTAAGCAAAAAGTTAAGCAAGTCGATAGAATACACAAACACACACACACACTCTCACAAATGTGTGGACGAATGTTTTTGAATGCCAAACTTTAAAGTCAAAAAGGGCGCACAAAGTTCTAGCAGGTTTGCAACAATAACTAACTGGCAGGACGAACTGAAACTAAAACAAGGACCACATGTATTTAGTTTGTCATTTCTGTTTGTTTTTCCTCCTTTATTTGGGCAAATAGTAGTCCAAAGTTGCATTGGATAGATGCAGATTACAAATTGTATTGCCACCAAGGCGGTCATTTCAGAAGAGCTTATGATTATGAAATAGCAATTTTAGATATCAAATAAATATATATTTATCTATTTCAGACGTTATTTGCTTAATCTCTATTAGAGCTATGAAGTTCAATTTAAAGAATAACATCAATTATGGATAACATTTCAAATCATTTCCGACTTTAAATATCACACAATGGAAAAGTTCTCCATTCTATTCTTTCTGGTCTCATTAGTTGCAGGTTTAGGGAAATATTTATATGGACTTTGGATCCACTCGACACCCGCAATTTCAAGGCAGCCATATAACAAAGTTTCCAAATAAAATGTAAATATAGTATTAAATAGTTTTGTCTATTAAAATGGTTATCTATTCAGCTTCTTATTGCCCCTCAGCAGCACTTTCTTCGGCTTCGTATACAAAGTTTGATTGAAAGAATTATATCTGTTATTGAAAAATCTGGGAAAGCTATGAATTGGTTTATAATTTTAATATACTAAGTTGTCAGTCAGTTGTAATATACAGTCAGACAGTTAATTGATTTTAGTAGTTTTGGTCATTTCTATTTTTATTTTTTTACTATTTATTTTTATTATAATTTTTATTAATTATTTTATTCAATTTTAATAAAAGATGTTTTTTGTCATATGGAAAATCTAGCTCTTTTCAAGCATTTAAGCAGCCTTTGATTATACTTTTAGCAGGCATACTTCGGTCCAGCACAGTTTTAATTATTTTTAATAATTCGAAAATTTGAATCAAAAACATTTCAAAAAAACGAATACATTTTCGAAAAATAATTGAAATGGAGCACAGCGAAAAGAATCAATTCTCGGGAAGGACATTCCAACAACTGGAGGCACAACTAAATCTGTGCACCATGGAGCTCGGCGAGATCGAGGGAGAATTCATCGAGAGGGCTGCACAGATAAGTGCAACGGAGAGGGCTCTCAACCAAAACAATCAAAAAATTGTCGAGCTAAACGATGCAGTACAAAAGTTGAAGCTCGACCAAGATATGGTGGCGCAGGAGCTCGAAGTTATAGACACGCAGATGGGAAGTCTAGCAGAGACACTGGTGCCTTTAGAGAAGAAGTTTGAAGAACTACCTTGCGCTGAACTCAATCAGACCAGCAGATTGGCCGAAAATTTGGATATGCAGCTGAAAAATATGTCCGGTGATTTGCATGAACTTGTCGGACGTCTAAAGCAGAACAATGAGGAGCAGAGCGATGCAGATCCCGTCGCACAGATTGGAAATATACTCAACACTCATGTGGAGTCCTTGGATTGGGTCAGTTCACAAACGAATGCCATTCAGCAGAAGCTGAATGAGATGGAAAAAGCCAAAAACAACCTCAAGCGTTAATAGTTCTTAATAGAACAGGACTTTTTGAATCCATTTGTTCAATAAATTTAAATTATTTATACCATCACACATCCTCTTTGGCCAATCTACGCAAAATTTAAACGATATATTTATAATAAAATGCACCAAAATAATACGAAAATCTATTATATGATAGGCTAGGACGTGCCTGTTTATCCAGTTTATCGATGGATTACTCCTAGAGTCAGCGAAGTATCTTCTCTGGGCCCATTCGTAGCTTTAAATATAGCCCCTGAATAGTATCCATTCAAAAAATGGCTCACTAATTCTAAAGGTAACTGTATTTCTAAATAAATCCCACCCTCCATAATTATTCGATATGTATCAATAATCAAGGTCCCCAATTTGATTGATAAAGGACCAAGATTTTTGAATTGAAACTTCTTATGTGAGCGACTTGAATGCTGAATGCGCAACCTTTTCTGTAACGAAACCAAAAGCACGGTAACAGGCGCACATAAATGAGCAGTAAGTAGACCAGTTGGCGAAATTGAAATTATGAATGTAAACAAAAATCAGCTAGATTTTCTAGCCATTTTCTAGCATTTAGCGAATTTTCTATCCATTTGCTAGGTATTTATAGCGGTTTGGTATCAATTTTCGAGCATATTCTACCCATTTTTCGTAGGGTTTCTCACTATTTATAGTGAGTTTTCTAGGACTTTTTAATGGACTTTCTTGCTATTTTTTTAATACAAGTAAAGATGACAACTTTTGGTGAACTTGACTTTTTAATAAGCAACGATGGGATTTAATTGAGGTAGAGATTGTGAATGCTCGTACATGAAAATAATTTGCATGCACAAAACATGTTCACAGAACTATGCTAATAATATAATAAAGGTCTGTCTTTGAGTTGCTAATTAATCCTTTAATACGAAAACTTACAACAGACAGCACCTTGCCTCCATCCAGCAGAATGCGCAGGTGCTTCAATGCTCTGCCAGAAACATTTATATCTTCTCGGGCTGACAGCGGAGCTTAGGTGGGGGGGAGCGGGGGGAATATATACTTGTATATGAAATGAGCCGTCACGCATGTTAGCCAAGTTAACGAGCATGCATCGGCTGCGAGAGCAAATGAATGTTTTGCATTTTTCAGCACAGCACCAAATCCCCCAAAAGCGTTTTTTCAAAGCGCCACATGCACAGAGATATACGAGTACAGACGGACATGTGTATGTATGTATGTATGCGTTTGGCGTTCCTATCTACGCCGCTCACATGCCACAAGCGGAAATCCAAGCAAAGCGAAAACTGCAAAATTATGCAATTTGCAGTCAACCAAAGAAAGCATCAAAGCTAAGCCAAAGAGCATCGGAGGGGGAGACGGGAAAGTGAGAGAGAGAGAGAGCTAGACGTGAATGGACTCTATGAAATGAATGAAATATTTAAACAATTTAAGAAGCGCGACAGACACACACACACACAGAACTTCGTGTGCAGCGCATAATTATCAGCGCACAAAATAATTGGCAAGCATTTTCTTCTGTGTACATTTTCGCCATTTTCTTTTTACGTCCATCCACAGAGTCCTTCCATTGAGTGACAGACAGCAAAGAAAACTATAGGAAGCGACTGTTGGGAGGAAGCGCGAGAAGGGGGAAGGGGAGGGGGGGGGGGGCTACTTGGCAGTCAACAGCTTTGGACATTCTATGTCGTTATCCATGCTGCGATTTTGCTTATTTTTTGCCTATTTTTTTTTTGTCTTTTTTTTTTGGCAGCGCATCAAATTTCAGTTGATGTGCCTTGATATATATATATATATAAGTATATACATACTATACAGATATAAAGATATATAGTTGTTTTTGTTTATTTTTTGGCATTGAGGCAAATTTATCAACTGTTCTGTGAGTTGTTTAACAAGCTAGCCAGGCACTATAGTTTCCTTTCGTCTTCTCTGTTCCCCTCGCCTCTGACTGATCGCCCACTCGCCAGTCTGCCCATCAGTGTCTTTATTTTGGTTGCCGGCTACTTTGCTGGATTTCGTGTATTTGTCTTTTACATGAATGGTAGCAACAGCTGCTTTTGTTCTTATTATTGTTGTTGTTGCTATTGCTGCTGCTGCTGCTTCTTCTTCTTCCTCGTCATCTTCTTCTTCTACTTTCAGCTTTCAGCTATCCCCCTGCCTTCCCACGACTTTTGTTAGCCACGAACGTCTCCGTTTGCTTTATCTTGACGTCAGTTGTGCATTTGTTTGGCCATTTTGTGCAGATTTTCCATTTACTTGGCACCACATCTCACAGGCCCCTCACCACCCACCACCCACCAGCTCACCACCTCCCAGCCACTACCCACCAGCACCACCTCCCAGCCACTACCCACCAGCACCACCTATGATTGTTGTGCTCCCCTCAGTTGTGTTCTCGACCACAGCCGTCTAGCACTCGTTTAATGCTTTTGTTTTGCGGTTAGTTCTGCCGCTGTTGCTGCTTGTTTCCCTCTCTCGCTGTCTCGCTGTCTCGCCGTCTCTCCCCACCTTTCCCCCCACCTTTCCCAACTGCGGCATCTTCAGCGCCTTCGCCCGCTTTAGTTGCTTTTTTGTTTGTTGTGGTTTTGGTTTTGCACTTTTCTAAAGTTTTTACAGCGCAGCCCAGCCTCCGATGTACGAGTATGTATGTACGTGTATGTATATACGTGTATGTATGCATGTATGTATGTGTGTATGTAGCACCCTTGGCACCACGGCACTTGCGTTTTAATTTGCCCATGCAAATGCTCAAAACTAATATTACGTATACGCCACGTTGCACACACACATGCGAGCCGCGCACACGCAAAACGTTTTGAGCACGTTTAACTTAAAACTTCTTTGCGTCATGCAACAAGAAAAAAAATTAAATAATAATGAAAATGAAAAAGAACAAACACGGAAAGTGAGGCAGAGAGGAAAACCGAATAACAAATATTCTGACAAGAAATGCGATCATTATTCTTATTCTTAGCACACCTTCTGGGCTTCAGATGAAAAGCCTACAAAACCTCAAACATAGCTCAGAGCTTCGTGTTTTTTTTTTTTTTGCAGTTTGACTTTTTTTTTAATTTTCTGATCTGTGCTTGTTTGGATAATTGTTAAATATTAACATAACTGCCAGAGTTTAATCGTGGGTTAACTAATACAATACATTACACATTTCAATCAAACAACCAACTGGTATTAATATTTTACACCATAACAAATCTACTCTCGAGCAATTAAGTAAACTAATTAATCATAATAATATTTCTCGTCAAAATCAAATAAAAATCATTAGAATTTTGAACCTTTTGAACCACACTAGAAACAAAGAAACAAGACTATGCATTTGAACTTCTTAAAAATTTTAAAAAACTTCTACCGTTCGATTTAAAAAATAATAATTAAAAACTATAACAAATGAATGGCTTTTATAAAAATGGTTTACGGTGCAAAAAACATCAAAAACCGTTTTTAAAAAATTTTCCTTTTTTTAATCTAAAGCAAAAAAACAAAATGACATACGAAGGGTTAAACTGTTATCTTAAATATGTTTAGTATAAAATAATTCACTTACTCCAATAAATATCTGTCATCTTAGTAGCCAGGGCTATTTCAAACTAAACTAGGTTATTATTTGTAATCTAATCATGTACAAAATAATTAAAATAAACATTAAATATTTGGACAATTGAGCGACGACAGTTATCTGTTCTGAAAATACATAATTGTTTGATATTTTATTCCTATTCTACAATTTCTTGTTTTATTTTGAACAGCACCTTCGAATAAATGCATATTTTAATGTAAACTATCTAGTAATACATTTATTTGAAGAAAATGGTTATGACTATAAGGCAGTACAAAGCAGATAGCATTATATTTGAATGCCCGGTACATCTTTCCTAGAATTTTGCAAAAGATGTAAAGGAGCCTGTCATATCTAGCTAGCAAGACTATTTGACCATTAGGAATAGGAATAATAACTATATATAGTGATATTATTATTAATCTTTATCTTATGTACGAGTATACAAGTTATATGTGTGAGTAGCATATTGCAAATCACCTCCTGGATTGATGAAAACTCTTCTTGGAAGTGGAGTGAAAAATGAGAAAAATTGCAAGCACGCCACGGCAGCCGGTAAAAGTTTTGAGGCAAGACGCATTTAAATTTGGCAAACGCTGCCAAGAAACCCGAACAGTCGTCTTTGCCGCTTGCCCCGCGCCCTTCCATTCTGGCAGTGGCCCTGGCCCTTTTTCCCGTGGCATGTTCTTTCTCTCCAAAACGCTGAACGTTTTTACGCTAAAGCGCATTTTCAAAAAGTTCGCGCAAAACTCAATTCTCGTTGAACATGTGTGTGCGTTTGTGTGTGTAAGTGACCGTATTTATGGGTGTGCATTTTTGTATGTGAGTGTGTGTGTAAGTGTGTGTGTGTGTGTGTGTGTGTGTGTGTGTCTTCTGCGCCCCTTCAGGTGTTGAGGAAATGCAAAACAGCAAAACTTGCAAAACTTTTACGCTGCTGCAAATAAGCGAAAGGCCTTTTTCGAGGGCGTTTACTTTGAGCGCGACAGGACATTTAGCATAAAAAAGGCAACAACAACAGCAACAGCAATATCAACAACAACAACATCAACAGCAGCTACAACTGAAAGATGAAACAAAAAGTGTGTATGCGTGTGTTCTTTGAAAAGCCAAAGAATTTGTATTCTTCCTGTCACCTTCTCATGCACACAAAAGTATTTATGTTCGCCTTCAAATGTCAAACCGTTTTGAATATTCTTCAAAGTAAATTTTGGTTCGAAATGGCTTTGAATTGAAGAAGAAGACTGTATTTTGTGGAACCGAAGCTTGATCAATATTTTTTTTCAATATTTTTGCTTCTAGAAAATACCACAATTTAATATTTTGTTTTTGATAAACAGGACGAAATGAATAAAAAAAAGCTCTCTGATAATCTGTTCGTGTAACTGAGCATTTGTGTGAACGTCTGAGCGCCTGAATATCAGCAAGTATTGCTCTTAGAGCCATCAATCTTATGATATAAGTACCTAAGAATGACAAGAATATGTCAATTATTTCCACACTCCTCAGATGTGTTTAATTTTCGATCGATTTTGTAATT